AAGATTAAGCCAAATTGATCTGCAAAGGAGCATGGTCTCAAGTCTAGAAAGAGACTACCAAGTAGTCGGGCCAGGCTGGACTAGAACAAGAAGCAGAAGTTGATCTTTGAAGAGGAAATTGAGTTAATTTTCCTATTTTGAAGTAGAAGATTATTGCTTGAATAAAAATGTTTGAATGTTTGTGTGTCTTCACATATAGTGGTCTTTATTTCTATGCCTTATTTTATTTCCCTTGCCCACAGGAAATCCATCTTGCTTTTCTGAAATGGCTTGAGGGAAATGTAGATGCTGAAGGATTAAGAGCATCCAGCAAGGTGTTTCTTAAATTTGTTTCATCCTGTGAATCAAAAATGGAGATAACTCCATCTTTCATGCAAGTCATCACTGAGATGGGAAGCTTTTCATCAGAACATTTCAGCCTGAAGACATATCAACAGAATCTTCAAACAAAGAAGCTTGGAAAGATTCTTCTTTTTACTGAAGTTACCACAACAACAATGAATCTTCTAGATGGGTAAGATAGCGATCTAGACCATACCAAATAAGCTTTCTGATCTGGAATTCACAATTATAGTAACACACAATGTTCAGAAAGAAACTTTTTACTCTGTGGTTTAAAAAAAAAAAAGCTGATTATCTTCTGGGTAGGACACAATATAGAGATCTTTGTGTTCACAGAATATTAATTGATAATGTATGAAATACCAGGCCATAAAGGGTGGGAAAATCTGAGTGTGACAACTTTTAACTTGACAGTGGAGTTTAATCATTATTCCTCTTGCAAAGCATGAACATCACCATAGGAATGTTTAAGGTATTAGATATACATATTTAGGAGATTTATATGCATATTCTAGTACAAGTTATTTTCTAAGCTAGTTATTTGACAAAAGCGACACCAAGTAGATTGTGGCCTTAATTTAAACATTACTGTTTTCTCTCATTCCTTTTACTGAATATTTCGCTAAAATGCTCTTTAGTGGTTTGTTGGGGTTTTTTTAAACATCGATTAGGGTTATGCTAGGCATTCTTTCATCATCACATAGATGACCCTTGTGAATGAGTTGTGGGATACCTTTGAGAAGGTAGTTCGTTAGGGTTTTGAATGGGATTAAGCGATATGAAAATCACAGTTACTAAATCTTAAGTTGGAGTCTGCGTACAAAGACTATACTGTTATGTTTCGTGAAATAGTCTAACGGAAAAAACTGTCTTTGGGAAGTTGTTGCTCTTCAGGATGAATTTTTCTGTGTGTTTCTACCTGCAGCTATAACTTTTCTTGACAGCTACTTTTGAGTATCAGTGTTAAAATATCTGCAGAAATTGCAGATGAATTTTACCGTTGAAAATAACCTCAGGAATTTTGTTTTAGATATTTTTTTTAATCAACATCATCAGTTATATCATCTTGAATGTTATTGTAACTGATTAGTTAAGCAGCAATAATAGCTTTGGTTCTCAGCTAGAGAGCCTAAATTGTGAGACTGATTTAAGTTACAGAATATGCCTTCTTGCAAGTAGTAAAGGTGATTTATTTTAGAATATATGCACAGAAAATCTGTGAATGAGGATGCATTATAACAGTATTAAAGTAAATCAGTTTGTAGTCTTACAGTTGGCACTGTGATGGAATTTACAAATGATAATTTGTGCTAAAATATTGCAATTTAGAGACAGTTGGAATCAAATGCAAATTTCTTTTCATTCTGAAGTATTATCTGTGTGTGCATATGTACTCACGTGCACACACATGAAAAAAATGTTGCTATCTGATTTTGCCACTCCCCTTCCCCCAGACCTACGTCCTTGTCCTGCAACTGATTTTGCAATGGCTTTTGGATGTAGACAGACATGCTGGTTCAATAAGAGGCCACAAAAAGAGAGTTATTTTATAGAAACATTTGTATCAGTTGCTTCTTAATTTTTAGTATTCACAGCGTGTTCAGCCCATTGGATTGAAAGCAGAAGTACTGTCAAGAAACTGACAAAGTGATAATTTAATAGGTCAAGACCTTTCTTCTCTGACAGTTGCATTGTGGTGGTGGTTCTCAGTAACATTATTCACACATCTCAATAAGATGAAGTATATAATTCAGAGTTTTGTGAATTTATTTAGATATCACAAGCTAAATGGAATCATGTCTGGCCACTTTATATATGATTATATTATCAAGAAAGGCAAGGGAGCCAAGAGAAGTGGTCTTGGTTTTTCAATGACAGTGGAACCTTTACTCTCTTATATTTAAAGTGCTGTACCAGCAGAGTGGTCAGCACTCAGGTTGCTTTTTTACATTAAGTAGCCCAAATGTAATGAAGTGTTTACAGATGTAGGTCTTCAAGATTTTCCCCATCAAGATGCAGCTCGAGTAGTCAATTTTTGGGTAAGATGTAAACTAGAAGTCCTGGCTCTAAGTAGCTTATACTGGGAAGACAATCCTAGTCAGATCATAATTTGAACAATTCAATTTATCTTACAGAAAGACCTTTGTTTTAATAAGTTAAAATCTTTGTCTTAAGTATTATGGTTGATGTTGTTGTAAATACTTTGTTGTCATGGATAACAGAATAATGTAGTCCATGGGATTTGCAATTCAGCAAAGTACCTTGAGACTTCACAGATGATAACATTTCATAAATCACTAGAAGCTGATGGAAGTACCTACTAGGTAACTTTTATTGAAGAAAAAGGTTGTCAGGTTTTTAAGGTACTTCCAAATGAACCAATATGAATTTGTTAGCATATGCGTATGTCACTTTTTTCTAATTGCCAATTCTGAATGACAGGAAAACATATCTCAGGAAAAAAGAGTTTGTTTGCTTGAACAAAAAACAGGTACCTATCGATCATTTGTGATTCCCAGAAAAAAATTGCAATACCGTGTTTATGTAATCGTGTATCGCAATAAGCACGTTGCATGATAGACTCTCTTAGGTGTCTCAAATTTACAAATTTTGTGATGATTGAAAATATGATACAGACACCTCAAGAACTTAATTAGTGTGATTAGTAGTAAATTTAGTAAATTATTTAGTTAGTAAATTATAAATAAATTTAGCATTTAACTTCAGTGACTGTAGATTTTCTTATACCTTTCCCACCAACAGAATATCAAACTTTTGTCTCTCTTCCTTTCCACTTCCCCAAACTTTCATACCCCCCAAAAATTAAGACGTGGAAGGAGAAAGTGGGCTGGAACTAATTTAATGGCTGAGCGACCTCACAGTAGAGAAACAGCCGGAGCCTAATAGGGGCCTTTGTCTGCATTTCCACCCTGGCTGGTAACGTGCCAGTCAAAAGTCAAGCAAGTGAAACAGGTGGAAACTATTAGACCTGTCATAAAGTTTGAAAAATTGATTCTGGAGGCTAAGTGAATAGATTGAACTTGACAGTGTTGTCCTAAAGATTCTAAGGGAAAATTCTGTAGTTTAATTTGGGATCCCTTGATTGTTCATTAACTCTCCAGATGGCAGGTCTTGGTGGTTTGCGTATTAACACACACACTGTATTATCACTGGCACACATTTATGTGTCCTAAGGTAACAAACGAAGTGTGAATTCACCTGTAGGTATCTAAAATTAAATGGCAGTAGTCTAATTGTAAAATAAAGATTTGTTTAAATGTCATAGAGTTTTAAATGATCAAGATTGCTTTTATGATTTCATGTTAAAAGCTTTATTTTAATCATTTGAGACTATTTTAAAAAGGATTTCCATTTTTATTTCTTAAACTAAAATTTAAAATCCTTACCAAAGATTAGAAGATTGTTTTTTCTCTAAAAGGAAATTCTTTCATTTCAGAAACCTTGTCTTCAAGGATATTTATCCTAATGCCACCTGAACAGGTTAACCTTGCCAGAAGCAGTTCCACTCTCTCTGTCTCCTCTCCTCGGAGCATGCCTGGGATTGCATGATTTAAGATGAAACCGTTATTTTTGAGGATGCATCGGGTACAGTGATACAAGCGTTACATTGTAGAGATATACTTATTAGACTCAACAAGACTTGAGATAAAGAAATATTTCTAGCACGCTCTAATTGACCAGAGTGGTTTCACAAGCATTTCGTTAAAGAATAAATTAATTAGATATACATTTCAGTTTTATTCATTACTGGCACCTTATATCCCGTTTTAATGTTTAGATGATTAAGCCAGCATGTGATATATTCTATATGAAATGCCATTGTGGATCCCTTTGCCCCAATACTTAAGAAGCACAAAGCGCCGTGTTAAGAAGAGTTTGGCACAAAAATGGTGAATTTTAGTGGAAATAAAATGTGGGACAAAGTTGCTTTCGTAATTCCTGAATAGGATATTTAAATAAAATGTCAGTTTAGAATTAACATTTCCAAACAGTTAAAAAGCTTTGAAAAACAAAATCCTTTATATTGTTGGTGCCCTTTTAGGGTTTTTTTTAATGCTTTTCTAGATTCATACTGTTGAATTTTTAAAAATCGTACTACAGCTCTTAATTTTGGAAAGTGAGCATTAGGACTCAGCTTATTTTAAAACCTGTGTTTTAGTTGTATTCAAATATGCGTGCTGCTAATGCAGGTACGAGTTAGTGAAAAGTAAGAGTAGCGTATAGTTGAAGGAGATCGGAATGGCACTTCAGAGGCACAAGCAAACAAGTTGAGATTGACAAACTGTATTTTGTACTTAATGATTTTTTTTTTCCCAGGTCTTTGTGATGTTTTATTCTATGTAAACAGTGGCCTCGTATTTAGTCATTCCATGCACCTCGGTGATCTCCCTTATTCTCTGTTTAAACCATATCCTTTTAAAAAACAAATTAAAATCAGATAAGTTGTGGGGAGTGGGTTGAAGTGTGGTTTGAAGATAGAAACTTGGCATTAACACGGCTTTTGCAAAATATGCCATACAGTCACAGTGCTTGTTTTCATTCTGGCCTCAGGCGTACCTGTTTAAAGCCTCCCCTCTCAGATACTTGCCTCAGAATTCCTCTAGGACTGTAACTACAAGCCAGAATTATTCTTCTTACAACTATTGGCTCAACTTGATTGACCATTTTCTTAAAAGCCATGAAAATTGTTTACTACTTTTAGCTAGCTGTGTCTCATAATCTAGGCTCAGGTGGCTGGAGGAAGCCGTTTTGCTGTAATAGTCAAAACCAACTGCAAGCTGTGTCACTGGCCTTGTGGTTTCCTCTCTTGAAGATGTATGGGTTGTTGGAGTACAAAGTCTTCAAAGAGTAATCTTTGTCTTTTAGCATGGTGAGACTATCCTCGTGCATTAATAGTCTGCTATAAATAAATGTTTTATCACCAACATTAAGTTAGTAAAAATGAACCCCCTACACCCTTTTCCTTCAAGAATGCATGTTGGAGAGGTGGAAAATACCAGGGTGGGCAGGAAGGATGCCTTTCTTTCAGGAAATAGGCATTGTTGTTGGATGTTTGAAAAATGTGTGCTGATAAATTGGTCAGTTGCATTTAAGTGGTGTATGCATTTTATACATAACCTTTTCTACAGATACATAACCAAAAATATTTTA